TTCATATTGTATATACTGAATTGATATCATCTGTCATCTAGCTGTTGGTAATTCTGTTTGTGTCCGGACGACTTCCACTTGGATCATCAACCTGAGAAGGAATGTAGGCGTACTGCTGTAAGTCCTACAGTTCTTCAAGGGTAGTTTGTCGTGTCAGAATCCACAACATTTGATGTGTTGATTGTACATATGTTTGTGTTAAATAGTTGTGTGAGTTCCAATTGATGTAATTGTTGGTTAATCTTGTTTGTGTCTGGACATTCCACAACTTACAATCGTCAACCTGTGAAGGGTTGTAGGCGTACTGGTGTAAGTCCTGCAATTCTTCAAAATAATTCCACCAAGACATGATCCGCGAGGTTATTTGTACTGTTTGTATATACGTGTGGTGTGTCTTCGCAATTTGTGATTTTGGATCAATTGTGTTTACTCGTTGTTTTCGTGCCTTGTTTTTATTGCATAATTTTGTTAAAATTTTCGTCGTGATTACTTCTGAAGTTGTTTCGAGTCTTCTACATCCATGAATGAATTGATTGATGTTAAGGACAGCAGATGGGTCGTATACGCCGGGGAGGCTAGGCTATTGCTGAGAATGAAATGCACACGGAGATAATTGTTAGCTGCGGTCCGACACGCCGGGGAGAAAGAGTGTAAACGACTGAGGCTCGCATGCGTCACCGCTACTAGAACTGAGGCAGAATGAGTGACAAGCGATTTCAGTGATAATTGATAGTGAATAGAAAAGAGGATGCTTGAAGAGTATCATGAGGTGCTGCTATGGTCACGTTGCATTCTGCAAGAGTCATTCTAGTAAGTGGCGATTGTGTTGCAAGATGTCAAGAGGAGGTCTCTGTCTGGAGGCGCAGGTCGTCATTGATGTGTGAGATTGTGCTGTGGGTATGCTTGTGGTGTGTTGGCTTTTCTGTTTGTTTTCCATTTCAGCTCTGTCCGTGTGACCCAGGTTCTCGCAATGGCATCCAAGTCAACGTGCATTGGTCGTGAAGGAAAAAAGGGTTGGATCCCTTTTTTGCCGGGGAGTGTCAATGGAGTTGAAGATTGAACGATCAATTCTTGGTTGTTTGCTCAAAATCAACTTCCCCAATTTTCGCGGAGGCATCAATACGACAGTCATCGTCTCATCGGTCGCTGTTCAGAAAGAAGAGTGAAACATCGTCAGAAGTAATATAAAGATTTATTATTGTAATATTTGTTTTCAGACCTTAGTTCGCTTATTCCTTTTATATGTTGGTGTAACAATAAAGAAATCTCAAGCGGCAGATCGGTGTTTTGGTTTTTGCGTCCGTTATAACTAAGCGTTTCTGAGAAATCTTCGAAGAACAGCGTGGGCCCGAGCGTAGCGAGAGCTGGGCATTAACGGTTTATGAGACGTGATTGACAGTCATGTTAGGTTGTTTTACTGCATCAAATGGTGCCGAGGTCGATTCCGGAATTCTCCATTTGCGCCATTTGTGTCTGCATGGCGGACTGTATTCGTAAGTTCAGAAAAATGTTGAAAACTGTTTGAAAACCAGTTGCTTCTTTGTTTCAGATCATGAATACTCATTTACAGAATGTTCGCCAGCGCCTTCAAATGGTCGAATTGGATCGTTCATGGAATTTGAGTGGTTATGAGATAAATGGTTTAATTAATTAATCTTCATTTAAGTTTAGATGCAGGGTTGTTCGACCTCGACCAGTAGATAAATAGAAGATTATGCACAGCAGCAGAATACCAGAAAGAGAAAGTATGTGAACATGAAAAGGACATTAATGTTTTATGCATTTATAAATGTTTATGTCGATTGTATATTATGCTTTAGTAAACATTTACCTATATTGTAGTTGTGTTTTCACGTATTTATGCGAAGTCTTAGAGTTTATTTAGTGTCATAATGTGTATTAATGAGTCTGAGCGTTTTAGTGTTCTAATGACTGATGCGTTTTGGAAATAAGTGATGGTTTCTGGTAGGGATAGTCATTGGGATAAAAGTTTATATAGAAAGCGTTTGAAGGTTACAATAGAGTGACTAAGGGTAAACTATTCCTGTATGTTCCATACTAAGTCTTTATGTATCTATGCTACTAGTTTATTTATAGTTTTTAGATTGCTAAGGGTGTTGAAGTGCGTCTTTTAGGTGCTGTAGAAGATTATTAGTTGATTCTTTCTGGGAGTAAATAGTTTGTTAATATAATCAGTAGATTGAAACAGTCTGTATAGAGAGCGCTTGAAGCTTGTAACCGACGAGCAAGTTCTGACATCTAGGGGCAGGCTGTTCCATATATTAGAGTACATGACTGTGAAGAAGTTTGCACGGAGTGTTGACTTAAAAGAATGAGTTGTCATTGTGCAAGTTTGGTTACACAGATCGTAAGAACCTTCCTGTGCGAATTGTGTGTCCCTGTTACCCGAGAATGATATTTTGTGGAGGAACTTAAGGAAGAATATTAGGTTTGTAATAAGTCGCCTTGTCCAAAGTGGGTCAAGTTTTAGGATCATGCAGAGTGAGTTGTAGTCTTTCTTATAATCGTAGCCAAGATGTTTTGAGGTGAAATATAGTTGGATACTTTCCATCCTTAGCTTGTCACGTGCAAGTGCTGCTTATAATAAATGGACAGTATTCTAGTAGTGGTCTGACACATGTTTTGTACAGAATTAGCTTGGCTTCATTGTCGTGAAAGTTCCTGAGTATGCATCCTAAGAGCATCCTCGATTTTCTAGTCTGTAATGCTACTTGCTCAGAGAATGTCAAGTCCCTAGAGTACCTCAAGCCGAGGTCAAAGACACTTCGGAGTCTGATTAGGTTAGCAGATTGAAGCGTTAATTTCAGGTCATTTGAGGGTGCACCGAAGCAGATCCAGCCACGTTTGTTCAGATTAAATTGGTCTTGCATTGTGGGGTGTTGAATCCTGTCTGATGTTTATTATTGATAAATGCGACTGGATTTTCACCAGCGACAATAATCTCAACCTAGCTCTACCTAGCCTAACTTAGTCAAACTGAAACTGGTAGATCTCGATATCAGATGCTCCAGTAACCTAATGATCTCTGAACAAACTGATAACAATAGACTTAAAACACGTAGGCTCCTAGGTTTCATCACTCACAGTTTCTTTTATTGTGAATTCAAGCAAATGCGTTTATATAACATCGGGAAGACAGTGAGTAGTAGGCCAAATCATAACAACATCACAATTGGGCTGAATAAGGAGTGCATTTTGAGTAAGTCGCAGAAAGTCGAATGACCGCGTGGAGAGATGTGTATTGGTCAAACAGAATTCGCACAAGTACTAGTGAGGTTAATAACGAACGAAAACATTTCATCTTTTACAGTGGGCATGTTTAGGATCTAGAGAAAATATTTCATTGGGAAATATGGACCTAAAATGCAGTCCCAGACTTTAAACAACGGTTATTTGGACCATTTGAGATGCTCCAATGACGAAATGGCAGTTATTCGCTGATAATTCCAAATGAGAGAACCTACTTGAAGTTCTGACATACCTTTTCTGCGAATATATCACTTTTGCGCCTAAATCGGTATGGCCCACTCTGGTACGCTGCCTAAAGCTTCATTAATTCCGTCCTTCACTTTGTTCACTATTATGTGACTTCGTCACCGGCAAAGTTAAGCACTACTAACAACCAATCAACAAATGGCCTTCAACGAACCAATCACACGAAAGAGAGAATTTCGGTTAATGGAAACGTATATTTATGTCACACAGGGTATCTTCCTCTAACATGTCACAGAAACATCTCCCTCTTTAGCATATGAATGTCAATAGAAAAGTTACGCCACATTCTGCACATATATTCATCCAAATGACTACAAAGGATGTCTTCTTTAGGTCCATCTATAGCCCTAGTCCTATTTTTCAATCTTCCTCAAAATCTTTCTATAGAATTCGTGTGCGTCTCTGTAATTGTATCCGCAAAATCACTAGAATGTTTCACTTAGTAATGAATACATCCAAGAGATGATAGCGAGTTATAACCTTTCTATTCATCAAAATGTACTATGGATCTCTGTTTCATCAGTCGAGTGGCGATAGATACCAAGGTAGTAGACAACTGCCTGGTATTCTCCGCGCGACTCCTTTCTGCAGGGAGGTGTCCTTTAAACCAGTCACCCAAACATTGTTGGCTCGCTCACGACCATGGTCGTATTTTTCTTCAGTAAAACAGTTTCGTCCGCGTGTATGACGACACCTTCTCCACCTGACAAAGAAGTAATTCTCTCCATTTTCCATGAGGCAATGTCTGTGCAGTGTTGGTACCGCTGAACTGTAGACACTACGCTACTTTCAGTTGCGTGCGGCTGCGCCTCTCATAGGCTATTTTAAAAGCGAAGGATTGAGCGAAGAAATATTTACTTTTCAATTAGAAAAGTAAATATTTCTTCGCTCAATCTTTCTCTTTTCTAAATGTCTAAATGGGGATATTTTCTATATTTTAAAAGCCACTGATAACAAATGTACATTATCTTGGTAAAGAAGAGACGCAACCTAGCAAAAGACGTTCCTAGAAAGATTAAAAACATCGTCTTACCTTCCCTACTACTAACTAATCTCAAGCGAATTGCACAACGATGGACATATCCATCAATCCACCTTCTAAGGCTTTTTAAACTCATGACAACTCCACCTGAACAAATCCTCTCCTTCATGAACAACCCCAAATCCAGGCAATACGGCGAAACCCTATCCTGATCCAACTGAAGGTATAACTTTGTTAGAGCAGGCATTCGATACATATCAAGCGCAATACAACCTTGAACTTACATGCATGAACTGCATTGGACCGTTAGAGGTCATTCGTTGACTGGTAGTTAGTGGTGCTTAGAGTTTTACTTGGCCTCATCACCAAACTGTTATCTGTTTCCGCTGCATTTACAATATGTTCAAAATGCATGACAACAAGTCTTTGAAAGTTTCAGGACATAAAGTTCAAATATAATGCAAGCCAACCAATCAGGCACCAAGGTTAATAGTTTATTGCGCTGGCGGTAATTTGGAGAGATGGCCTTGACCCTAAAGTCTAATTGTAGAGTCTTCATCTTTGAAGTGATTTCTTTATTTTTTAAACTTTATGTCATCATTGTGACAAAATTCTCCATAGTTCCTTGAAATAATGTAGTAGTAGTAGTAAATTGTTGTATTACTCCATGCATTCGGTTACAAACTGGTACGAATTAAGCGTAATTACTCAGTTATTTTTTAAATAAATATTTTTTTTTTATATTTCTTTTTTTTTTAAATTTTTTTTTTTTTTAAAAAAAAAAAATTTTTCCTCGACTTAAAAAAAAAAATTTTTCCCCTTCTAAAAATTTTCCCCCAAAAAAAATTTTTAAATTTTTATAAACCCAAAAAAAAAAAAAAATTGTTTTAAATTATTTACTTTTTTTTTTTAAAAAAAAAAAATTTAAATAAAAGGATATTTCCTTTTTTTAATAAAAATTGCTACTCTGTCTTATTGGCGGGGAGGGCAATAAAAGAGAATTTAAAAATACTCTTTTTTTTAAAAGAGCATTTTTTAAACCCCAATGAATTAAACCCCTTGGTTTTTAAAAGGGCCTTAAGAAATTTGGCCTAAGGCCTTTTAAAAAAAAAAAAATTAAAATTAACCAATTTTTTTTTTTTTCTTTAAAATTCCTCTAAGGTTTTTTCGGAAACCCGTTTAACCCTTTTTGGGGGGTTTTTGGGTTTTTTAGTAAAATGTTCAATATTTTCGTGCACAGGTTAATGATTTCCATATTTGTATCTTTAAATAAATAATTATTTTTAAGTAATTACCGAGTAATTTCTTATTTGTGGATTCAGTAGCATCTTCGTTAGACGGCAATCTAAAGCATAAATAAAAATTGTAACAATTTTTTCCTACCGGTCACACACATATGACTTTTTGCCAATAGGAGATGAATGAAATATGGGAGCACTGGAAGTACTGAAAATGAAGGGCTTTCAAATAGGTTAAAACCTTGGTTTGGGGCCACGAAGTCATCCAATATATTATACTCTGGATATTGTTATAACAGCCTTGTATTCTGGGGTAATGATTTGTGACTTTACCCTTCTGTTTACTAGCGACAGAGTTTCGCATACAAAATCGTTAAAGTAGGCTGTATGGTCAGTGGAAAAGCTGGTGCCAGGTTTTCCATTCGGGGTAAATATAAAAGTAGACCGTTTTCTTCGTAGAAATTATAAATTACATAAGAACCAATAATGAAATTTCTGTTGAAATTTCATATGCTATTCTTATTATCAGGGAACTCACTTAGATATTTTTTTCATAACACTAGACTTCCGTGTATTATCAGAACCTAGATTCAGATTCAGATGATAAGGGTAGAAGGCTCTTGTGGCCTGTGTTAATCCTTGCAAAGTATATCTCTGCAGAGATCTTACTACTCTTTGAAAGCGTTCACCGATGGAGCTGATACTAGTGAATCAGGTAAGGAGTTCCAGTCGTTGACCACTCTGTGAGAGAATCTAAATTCTGCACGTATTTTAATCATCCTCGGTTCGAGCACCTTTTTGCACTCACCCTGTAAATGTAACCTAGAACGGGAGAAAAGTTTAGAAAGGTCAGTTCCTAAATCACCCTTAAGTGTACAGTATGCTAAAATTAAGTCGCCTCTCTTCCCTCGGTATGATAACCGGAAGAGATTTAGATGCTCCATCCTCTTATCATAAGGAGGATGTGAGATACCACTAACTAATTTCGTTCCTACTCTCTGTACTCTTTCCAGGATATGTGCCTCCTTTATGAAGCATTGACTTGTCGCTTGTATGCAGTATTCTAGATGTAGCCTGACATATGTTGTGTAGAGTATTGGGAACATGCCCTCGTCTAATCGTTTGAAAGCCCTTCGAAGTGCCCATAGCATTCGAAAAGCCTTAGCTGCGGCTGCATTGCAATTTGCAGTTGTTTTCAAATCATTGCTGACAATGATTTCTAGGTCCTTCTGTTCGTTAACATCAGGTAGTTCTGTGTCCCCTGGGGAGTATGACGTACAAAACTTCTGACCTAAGTGCATTACCGCGCTCTTCCTAGAATTCATTTCCAACCTCACAGGTTCGACCACTCAGCCAATTTACCTAGATCAGTTTGTAGGGCCGACCTATCCTAATTAAATAAGAATTAAAACAAAGTTAGCTAAAGATTGATTGTATTTACATTGTTGAGACAATGTCAATGAGCATTTCATCAGTTAATCAGACGATTATTATGTTAAAATGAATCATAGCAGTGTATTTATTATCATGGTAATATTGAGATCCGTTTACAAACGGTTAATTAATCTGTCTGCTTCAACACAGATATACCTTGGTACAAGTGAAGTGATATCCACACCCAATAACAACCATATTTCAGTCATTGTTATAACATCAGGTTGTAGTCTTTCAGATAATACATCTAATCCAAGAAGTTTATTACTAGGACTACACGCCTTCATATAGCTCACTGATACGAATGTGTTCATCCAATTCATGAACAGGGGCCTTAGTAACAGGTTTCCAAGAACTCACCACCCGAAAACCTAATATCCTTAGATATTTTTCCAACTGAATCTTCAGTTGTGATACGGCTCCCCTCTAACGGCCAATCAGGCTTCATTCCTAACTTTCTATCCTTGACCCGACCGATGGCTGCTACCTTGACGTGGTGGTCAGGCTTGCACATCACGATGGCCCAACAAGCTGTACTGGCTGGAACCAATGTTCCTGCAGGTCCTATCATGCCAGGAAGGTTTTTAGGATGGCGATTAGACTAAAAGCAGTTACCGGCACTGTGTAAGTATCTTTCTTACACTATGCTGGGGGTCGGAGTGCGAAGTCGTACTGTTGGGGAACAGGGGTGTAACAGCAGTGAGGTGTTTCCCTCAGATGACCAGCATGCCAGCCAGCTATGCTGTCTCTCCACCCCAGAGAGAGGAGGTTTAGAAAAGGTCGACCCCAAAAAATGTACATTCCGACTTACCCTACGGTGGTCCATAACCGGCGGTAAGTTTACAAATACGAAACCAATCCCAGAAACTAGTTCATACAGGCCGTGTGTGACCGGTTGGCCTCAAGCAGCTGTCCCCTCCTGGGCTCTGCGTTCACGCAACACTAACCGTCTTTCTGTCTCAGGTACCCGAAGATTCAATCAACTTCCACGGTGTAGGCAGCCGGGAAGTAACAACCGCCCCACCACACACTTCCAAAAGCACACGAAGCCTTGCTGAGCATCATTCTCTTTTACTCACATCACCTTCCTCATCTTGCTTCTCTACTACAGTTAGTACTATTCTGTAGGCTAGTGAGTCATCTTCACTTCACTCTGTGACCACAAACAACGATGAGAGTCATAGAAACACCCCAGATAGCCTTCTATCCTTGATTTTAAATGCGTTGTTGTTAATAATATTCTCTTCCACCCACGTCATTTCCTATCACTGCTTTCAATAGCTGTGAAGAACTTTCCATTGCATCATTATTTCGTTCTCTGATTCTGATAGCATTTCTTACATGAATTGCATTTGTTTTTATCGGAAAGTAGGTCACCGGGAATAGAGCCAAGTATCTCGAGACCTTGTATACTTCTATCGATTTTGTCAGGTTCCAAATAATGACTCTATAAGTTCCGTCAAAAGATTTAAAAACAGTATTCATGGCCTTTGAGACCTTATTAGTAGATTCAGCAGTTTTATGTTTAGTCATAAGAAAAGGCACAAACAGCAAAAAAAACTTTGTTCTTGAAAATTCTACTACATAATGTGAGGTGTAAGAAGGGATGACTAATTGTAAGTTAGATAGGAGACAAAAGTTGGCATGACCTAATAAGTGTGAGATAATGACTAATCAATAAGCTAGTGTAGAGTGAACAGGAACTAGTAATTTTCTAAATTCTTAATTTTTGGGACTACCCATGCGGAGTTAGTTTCCTTCATTTTCTGATCACACTGCAGTCAGGAGCTATCCGTTCGTTTGACACTCCACTACTCTTCGTCATAGTAGTTTCACTAGTTGGGTCATACGGTGCTGGCACCATTTGTATTCTTGAATTTTTGAAGTTTCTTACGTGTCTTGAGGGCACTCCCCCTTTTTAGCGGCCATTATTTTAGATTGGTATTCATACATCGAATTATCTTCCGCTTTTCTCAATTGCAACTTTATTGTTTACTTATTATAGATGTGATCAAAAAGTGTCTCAAGTCCAACCACCAAAAGGATTAGACTCCATTCCATTCATGTAAAAAATAATGTTGAATCGATATAACAAAAAGTGCTTTGGTTACTTAAACAATCAAGTGCCAAAATCACCGCCTCAAAGAACAATATATATGACAAGAAATCGATCTCTTCCTTTTGTACACCATTCAAAGCCTAATTTTATGCCTATCAGACGGATAAAATCAACAGGGGATCAAATAACTGTCGATGCGTATTCAGATGTCAATCCAGGCGTTGTACACCCTAGTATGGAAGAAGTATTGACCGAGTATATAATTGATACACTTGTGGACTGTTTCAAATATCAAAGCCTTAGCACTCGTCAGTCACCTGTTGTTGAACACAATTCAATTCAATCACATAAAGTGTGTAATACAAATATAAAAAAACTACCTAAAATGCAATTGAATGATAGTAAGAGGAAACATTCTGAGTTCCCCCGAGGTAAACCTGACCGCCTTGATTCAAATATCTGTACATATCAATCTTTATCTGAGTCAAAAAATTTCTCAGAGAAAAATCATCATCATAAAACAGGTTTCGTAACAGCTAATCGGATGAGAACTTTATGTAGTGAAAAAATCAGAAGTACCAAACATCCAATATCTAATTTAGAAAAAAATCGTTATAATAAAGTTAGTAACGATATACATTCTGTACGTTTTTGTAGTCCAAAATCAGAGAATAAATTGACGAGCTCCAACATACCGTTATCACCAGTATATGCTGTTCCTGATAATATTGACGAAACTGTGCATTATCGTAAATACTCGAAAGTTACATCTCAGGATATCTCCACTCAACAACAACAACGACGATGCGATGTTTCTAAACCTCTAAGTACTTCCACCACCTACCGAATGAAGAAGAAGAAGGGTAGTCAGTCTGTTACTAGTCGATTGTCACATATGCCGGTGACAAATTTAACTTCCTCCTTGTTAACATCAAATCAATCAGTTGATAATGGTACTGCTGTTTAAACTTATCCTCTATTTATATACCTACTTTGACAGATTCATTCAAGGAAGTAAGCAATTAGGCGTGTTTCTCCTCGGATTTCCAAACATCACATTGTATAGTGGTTGGTTAAGTAAAGGACAAACAAAATCTATTCACCTAACGGTTTTCTATGCCATCTTGTGGATACACAGAACACACAATACTGATGATGTTAAAAACGAGGCATACCAACAAATCTCAATTTCTCCTGAAGAGTTCGTCGACTATATATTGCTGAGGCTGGCTGTTGGGATCCATATTAAGAAGCCTAATTTATGTGTCCAAAAAAAGTTAGTTCAGACATTGTCCTTACCCCATTGGCCATCTAGGTTCGAATGATCCTGAATTTTTGTGGAATTTTCCTAATTTTAGTTGATATTCTATTTACTATTATATTTTTATTATTATAATTTAACCATCTTTAATGAACTGTAATTCCATCGATCTTACTTAACAAATCGATATTATTTAAAAAGCACTAGTGTTGTTATTGACTACTATTGTAGAACATCCTATATTTATAAGCATGTAGATATAATTGTAGAGCCAGAAGAGAAAATTATCGAAAGGGGGGATATTCTTTGCTCAATTATTTCGTGTTTTATAGATGTCTGGTCTTCTTTTTTTTTAAAGTTTTATTGCTTTCAACAGTCTGCCACTATTTACTAGCTGAACCAGTAGTGTTTTAGTGATAACCGAATGGTGTTTTTTCTCCTTTTGGTCAGGTTATTAGTAAAATATATATTTTCCTATTTTGTTTTAAAGATTATTTTTATATTTGACTAGTTGTTATTGTATCATGTTCAAACTGTGATATATATCTATATCTATAACTTGTGTATCTCTTAACCTACAATTTGAATAGTACTCAATTTTATTTTATTTTTTTAAGATTATATTTATGATTTTTAAGAGAATGTTATGTAAATAACTATAAAACGTTGTTGATAAATAAGTTGCCACTTCTTCTTCTTGAGTTGTTACAGGATTTGAACCTGGTGACTTGACTATCAGCCAAGAGGTCTACTGAGTGAACCGTAAGGTTTTTTGCAGATAGTTGAAGGCAATCATCAGGTAGCCATGGACACCTAGACTTCCTATTTTTTAGCACTTGTCAGCAAGACGTATCTGTAATTTTGAAGGAACTCGTGTCCCCTTTGAGATTAGGACTCGGGTCACCCAGGGATAATGCAGTCGGATATGTTACCACTGAGCTATTCGGGCTTGTTGCTGACCTTCTGTGGTACGCTAATATCATGCGTGTCTAGTCTTTCGTTTAGTGAAGATTGAATTCTACCAGTCAATAATGTCAGCTCATGATGAAATCCTGTAACCAAATCAAATCCCTACAAACCAACACTTGAATAACGATGAGATGCTCACTAGCGACTGTCCCTATTCAGGTAGATAGTTACCTGAGGTTCTAGTGAGAAGTCGTGACCAGTAGGGTGCAGCAGGTCGGGTGTGAGGACAAATACTCGCCAAAGACATTGGCTAGGGGTCGCGCTATGTCATGAATTGGCAGAAGTTAGAATTCGTGGGCCATTGGAATGGGTCCCAGTGGTATACTATCTCGCCTTGTAACCAGGAGGTCCTGGGTTCGAACCCCGGCGGGTGCATGCTGATGAAGAGTCCCAAACTAGGACTAAAAAGTTGTCCAGTACTCTCAGGTTTTTTCCAGTGGTTCTCTAACTAATGTCAGCTCATGATGAAATCCTGTAACCAATCAAATCCCTACAAACCAACACTTGAATGTCAAGCATGTATTGAGGAGAGTAAAATTCTAGTCAAAGGTGTCGATTGGATATTTAGTTCTCATTATTTCTTATACTTATTTTTGAAGACCATCGGTAATGAAGGAAGTCGGTGATATCCGTTACTGTATCTTACATCCATACATCGATGATAGCGTTGCGTTTCAGTGGAGAACGTTGCACTGATGTATGTCATCAGGTCTAAATGCTGCACTGAAATGGACAAAAATGTACGAGAGAGAGAGAAATAATCTAATGAAAAGTTATTATTTAACTCTTTCTAGTGTTAGGAAGTCACAGGTCTCAGCCAGTGTGTGTGTGTGTGTGTGACATGGTCGGACAAAGTGTGGAGCAGTCATCCAAGTTCACCTAGTTAAATTGTCTTATTGCGATATGCTCATAAAGTGGAAGGTGACATGCAATCTACGAATGTTTGGCATGCAGCTCGCTCCTGCCAAATGTAAGATGATGTTGCAGGACTGGACTATACTGACTCCTAATTTAAAAATAGGGTGTAAAGTGGTAGAGCACGTTGACTGCTTCAATTAATTGGCAATTACCACCAACCAACGCCAACAGCTTGATCTCTAACGAAATCTCAGTACGGATACAGAGGGCTCGTTTCGCATATGCCAGTTTACGCCGTCTCTGGCTTAGTAGACGTGATATCCGACTGACTTTCGACCAAAGGTAGTGTGTCTGTCTGGATTCAACATAGAACTTGGCACCGAAGTGCAGCAGTTCGAGTTGCCACGTTCCAAATAGCACACAAAGGTAGACAAGAAGATGAGTGAGGAGAATCAATAGAGTTCGACAAGTATAAGAGTGAAACAGAATGAGTAATGGTAGAAATATGAATATGAAAGATTACAAAGACTGAATACATCTGCGCCATTGACAACGATTTCGAGCCATGTCACCTATTGTCTCCAGCCATTGATTCCTAGAGTCCCGAGGGCCCCAACCCGGGAGTCTGCATCTCCCTACCTGACTCAGTTTAACTGTCAAGGATTTCATGGATTGATGAGGCCATGTTTTTGTTTGGCCACCACTTACTATTCTCCAACCTGCACCTATATCAGCTAGCAATGTCCGTCGGGGGAGGCGGTGGTTAGGCATGCGCAGCACGTGACCTAGCCATCTTAGTCTATGTAACTTTATAGACTCGTCGATTGATTTTCCCTCTTTGCCCAACACTCTACGGCTAACGTCAACATTACTTACCTTATTATACCACCTAACATGAGAAAGAGATCTCAGACATCTATGATCAAAAACAGTCAACCTTTTCATGTCTTCAACTCGTATTGGCCATGTTTCAGAGCCATAGACAAGGACGGAGCGAACTGCTGAGCAGTACACACGTCCCTTGGTTGATAACCGGATGTCACGCCTACGCCAGAGATGGTGTTAGTCAGCGAAAGCAGCTCGAGTTTTTCGGATCCGTGCTGAGATTTCATCGCCAATCAGTCCGTTGGTGGTGATACAACTTCCCAAATAGGTGAAGTGGTCAACATGTTCTATCACTTCACTCCCTATCACTAAGTTAGGAGTTGACGTAGTCCAGTCCTGTAGCAGCATCTTAAATTTTACAGGGGCGAATCTCATGCCAAACATACGAAGATTCCTGCTCAAGGTGTTCAGAAGACTCTGCATTTTGTCAGCATCCTCCCCTAACAGGACTATGTCATCTGCATATTCTAAGTCCATAAGACTATTCCCCAGTAACAAGTCGATTCCTAAGTCATTACGTTCAGTTAAGGATACTTCCATCAGCATATCTATGATGAAGTTAAACAGAAATAGGGAAAGTGGACATCCCTGTCGGACACCACTGGTTGTTACCAATTCAGATTGCAGTTCTCCATAAGCCCTTACACGACTACGTGAGTTTGAATAGAGTGCCTTGATTAGTGCAATGTACTTTCTTGGCACTCCCTTCACAGTCAGACACAGTCAGAGTGCGTACTATTCAGCAGTCCGCTCCGTCCTCCTTTATAGCTGGCTGTGAGACCTGGCCACTGAGAGTGGAAGACATGAAAAGACTAGCTGTCTTTGATCATAGGTGTCTGAGTTCTATCTCCCATTTGAAGTGGTATAATAAGGTGAGCAATATTGAGGTTAGGCCTCGGTCGAGTGCTAGGTAAGTAGGAGGGAAAATCACTCGACGAGGTTGTGAAGTTACAACGACTGAGATGGTTAGGACGTGTGTTACGTATGCCTAGTCATCGCCTTCCTCGACGGGCAATGTTAACTGACATAGGGTCAGGCTGGAAAATAGCTAGCGGCGGTCAAACTAAAACATGGCACCAGTCAATGAAATCCACAACAGTTAGTTTAAGCTAACCAGCCACGTAGAAAGGTGTAGACTTCCTGACTGGTTGGGGTCCTCGGGACCGTAAACACCAATGGCTGGCGAAAATTGGTGATACGGCTCAAAATTGTTCTCAATGATGGCTGCTGCACATGCATCAACTCCTTGTGACTTATGATTCCCAATGAAACTGCTTTGTTCTTCGTTATTACTATTCCTTTATCTCACACCTCTGTTTACTGTCTCTTATGCACTTCTCTTGCTCTGTGTGCTACAAGGAGGGAGTGTGGCGACTTGAACTGCCGCACATTCGTGCAAAGTTCTATATCGAAAACAGACAGACAGGGAAGGTGACATGTAATGCCATGTCGCAGAACAGAAAGAAGCGAATAAGACGTATGTGATACACTTAGACCAGACAATAGACGAACGCATCAATAAGATGGATACCGTGCTGTATTTTTCAGAACTGTGAATCAATGATTTTGAATCCAAGTCAGGCAGCCTACACTGTCTTGATGGGCAGTGAAAAGTTGCAGGGTTTTATGGTATATCTTAGATTTAGCTTTTTAACTTTACTTTGTTCTGGTTAACACCAGATTTCATATAGCGGGTATATAAATGCTTAATATTTAGGCGAACAATATCATGATTTCAATTAGCTCTCATCAGACTAAATGATTTTTATTTTTGATTACAGCTTGATTCCACACTGTATTTTTGGTACAAGTATGGAATTTTCAGCGTGGATATCGGTAGCCCAAATTTTGCAGGCCGACCATAGATATCAGGTGTTCGTCGGCGAGGGCTCGAACCTCGGACCATGTGCATGGTCGGCAAGAGTCCTAACCACTGTGCCACCGACGCACAGCTCTAACATACATAAGTTGACAAATAAAAATTCAAATATTAACCAATCATGGTGTTTTGTTTATAGGATAATAAGATGGTGGATATAAATTCTGCCATTAGTCACAATAATAGTAATAATAATGATGATAATAGTGATAACAGTTATATAGGGTGTACTAGTAGACAGCTTAGCTTATATAAGGTTTATAAGTATAAAACTTGGGCACTGTGGTAGAGTATAACTCCATTATGGATAATATTTTATTTTGATAAACCACACACAGTGTTATACAGTAAGGTTCTATAGACAGAAAGAGGAACCTTTATACGCTCTTTCCTCAAGGATCCGGAAGAAATACAGCGAGGAAGTGATTGACGAAGAACTGCGTAATCTCCAAGGAACCCTGGTGGAAAACAGTTTCCCGTCCAGGTTCATAGACAACAATCTCAAATCAAAGAAGACAAGGATGATTTTGATTTAAAAATCATCCACCTGAGCTACAAATCTTTTCTATCATATCTAAATCTTACGAGCGGGATACGCTTCTCTCTGTTCGAAAGTGGGAAGACTTCGCCAAAAGGCAAGGATCCACCAGAGAACAATTATTCTTTCTCCATGATTGCCTTCGTCACCAAATCCTACCAAACAGTGTAAGATACAAACCACCAGTCAACTGCCCAATGGGATGGAAATTGGCCGAACAATGTGGAAGACGAATGGTCAAATTAATGATTACGGACGCACATTATCGGATCAACAAATAATAGATGTCCAAAAAGCAAAATTAGAGAAAACCCTCAACCAGGAACACCTGTCAACGCTGATCACCGCAATTACACTGTCAAGTGAAAAACACAGAGAACAAAGACGAAGAGTCCTCAAAACCAAGCTAGCCAAGATTAGAAAACAACAACCAGACAATACGCCCATAGACTGCGTAGTCAACCTATCAAAACAACCACTATCAAAAATGGAACAACAACTACTACAAAAAGGATTAAACTACAACACCGGAGATGCTTCAAAAACTGATTTCTTCGCTGCCTTTGAATCATTACTCAAATCATCAAACTTGAACGAGGAAACACAGGAAGAGATACGCCAAACAATTGTACCAATGGTCAAACAGAAAAGACAACACACACAACTCAACGCTCAAGAACTAAAGGCCCTCAAAAAGCTGAAAAATAGGAAGGACATCGTCATTTTACCAGCCGACAAAGGAAGAACAACAGTAGTCATGGACAGAGAAGAATACACCAAGAAAGCTGAAGAACTACTCAAAGATGAGGATGTATATCAACAAATCCCATACAAACATTGGACAACCGCATCCAAAGGACCTTAAACAAGCTCACCAAAACTGGACAGATCACAAAACAAGACCAATGGCGAATGAAATCCAATGGACCAGTCCTACCTCGATTCTACGGCAGACCCAAAATACACAAGGCAAATATCCCGTTACGACCAATTGTATCACTCCCAGGAACTCCAACATATAATTTATCCAAAGAATTATACAGAAAACTAAAACACCTAACGGAATCTTGCGATCACTCCATCAACTCTGCTATCCAATTCCTAGAGAAAATCAGAGGCATCCAAATAGATGAACAAGAAATAATGGTATCCTTCGACGTGACAGCATTATATACCTCTGTCGGACAAAAACTAGCAAAAGAAACCATGGAGCAATTACTTAGCAACGACGAACAACTTCCACAACAATCAAAAATGCAACACACAAGCTGGATGGAATGCATAAATCTATGCCTAACAACATACTTCCAATTCAACGGCCAAATATATGAACAAGTCAAAGGAACACCCATGGGATCGCCAATATCAGGTTTGATTGCAGAAGCAGTGATGCAAAGACTCGAAAACATAATTCTACCAAAGATCAAACCCAAGATTTGGATACGCTACGTCGACGACACATTTGTAATAATCAAAAGAAACGAATTAGATAAAACTCACAACTTAATAAACAACGTCTTCAACGACATCAAATTCACAAGAGAAGAGGAATCCGAGAACAAAATACCATTTTTGGACGTCTTAGTCAGGCGAACAACTACAGGAGAATTAGAAACTCAAGTTTATAGGAAATCAACTCACACAGACCAAATACTGAATTACAACAGCAACAACCCAATAACACACAAAAGGAATTGCATACAAACACTATTCAAGAGAGCAAGGACTCACTGCAGCACTCCCACCTTAAGGAAAATTGAAGAAAAGTATCTCATGGACGTCTTCCAAAAGAATGGATATCCACGGAATTTCATCAAGAGACATATACCCCCAAGCCAACCTACCAAAGCAAAAGCCACCAAGGAAGCACAAAGAAAATCACCTTACCATATATAAAGGATATCTCAGAAATCACTACAAGACTCTTCAAACCTTTAGGAATTGACGTCGTACACAAACCAACAAAGTCGCTTCACTCAATTCTATGTCAACCAAAAGACTCAACAGCGAAAGAAGATAAAACCAACATCATCTACAAAATAAACTGTAACAACTGCGAAAAACACTACATTGACCAAAGTGGACGTCCCCTTCATCTTCGTATCCATGATCACAAGCTAGCTGTCAAAAGACATGACATCCACTCCCTCATATCACTACATACAGACAACCACGGACATCAATTTGACTGGGACAACGTTCAAATATTGGACAGAGGAAACAACAAGAATGCTAGAGAATTTTTAGAAGCTTGGCATTCCAGTGAATCATCAATCAATAGACACATCGAGATAGACAAAATTTATCAAACGATAAGAAAGAAACTTCACACACAAAGGGTCAAAGTTCAAGTCAAAGAAACAGTCAGTTTCAATACAAGTAGCCTAGAAGGTGTGAAAACATACAGAAACAACCAATCACGTCCAAGGTCACCAGGAGAGATGATTAATGAACTCGTGGAGAAATCTAAAAGCTCACTCCAAACTGAAGTATGCGCTGAAGATATCACCCATTAGGGTGATGAAAGCTTCGCAAATCAACCATCCAGGTCAGAGAACACAACCACATCAAAATCATCCACCTGAGCTACAAATCTTCTCTATCATATCTAGACGTGATATCCGGCTGACTGTCGACCAAAGGGAGTGTGTACTGCTCAACAGTCCGCTCTGTCCTCCTTTACGGCTGTCTGTGAGACCTGCCATTGAGAATGGAAGACATGAAAAGCTTGTCTAGCTGTCTGTGATCATATATGTCTGAGTTCTATCTCCTGTATTAGGTGGTGGTATAATAGGGAGAGCAATATGGAGGTTAGGCGTCGAGTGCTAGGTAGCTGGGAGGGGAAATCAATCGACTAGACTGTGAAACTACATAGAGTGAGATGGTTAGGACATGTATTACGAATGTCTTGTCATCGCCTCTGTCGGCAACGGGCAATTCTAGCTGACATAGGATGGATCAGGTTGGAAAAGAGCTAGCTAGTGGTGGTGAAACCAAAACATAGCTTCATCAGTCAATGAAGTAAATCCACAACAGTTAATTTAAGCCAGCCACGTCGGAAGGTGTAGTCTTCCTGACTGGCTGGGGTCCTCTGGATGGTAAAAGCCGATGAAGGCTGGTGATATTGCTCAAAATCCTTGTTGTCAATGGTTGGCGTTGATCCATCCACTCCTTGTGACATACAATATCCAATAAAATTATATGGTTCCTCTATATTACTATTCTTTTTGTCTCATATCTCTGTTTTGAATCTCTTTTTACTCTGTTCTTTTGTTTTGTATGCTAAGTGAAGTGTGGCAACTCGAACTGCTGCACATCTCTTCAGTGTTCTCTACGTTGAAACCAGCCAGTCGGATAGTTCAGAGTAGTAATTTATTCTCCGTTTAACATTGGGTGGATCATATAAAAAGTGTTGTTAGCAGATGTATGGGCTCAATAACTAATTTTTTCACCACCGCGTCATGAAATCTGGAATTCTTTTATCTACAAAAGTTGTTGCAAGTACCTGTGGCACACACTATCTATTTCCCAATATATATTGCGGTTCACACAATGATGAACACAATCCTCTTCTTCTTTTTTTAACACTGTTGTACAGTCAGTACTTCTGTATGGTTTAGAGATTTGGTGCGTTAACAAAAGCATTTCCAGCAGGCTACTGCTGACTTTTATTCACATCTGCCTGTGTCTGACAGTGGAGGTCAGACAGCTTGTTAGAAAGAATCAACAACAAGAGCCTCTGACTAACTACGAACCAGCTAACAAAGATGCTGAAGCAGCAGGGTGGCACATTTGATATACACGCCAGGCTTTCGAGTGGAGCATGAATGCGAAACGACAAGTCGGAATTCTAAGGTTAATGGGAGGGAGGCGATCATGCGAAAAGGGAATGAAAGTCCGTGGGTAGTCATTCAATTATGCGAGAATGACAACACAGGGGTGATAGTAAAGTCCTATATACCACTTGAAACACAAGTAATGAACAATGATGCGTTGATTAAGTGGATGGTGGCTAGCAGTGGAATCCAGGATAAAGCGCATTTCTTCCTATTTGGACCTACTCGTTGGTGGCTGGATGTACCTGCATTCCCCAGTGAGTCAGTGATGAGGTTCCCACAGAGGTTCGATCCAGTGCTGATAGTTTCAAACGCCATAAAGTTATCCTGACCCTGGTGGTCTAGTAGACAACCCTTTGGCGTTTGAAACTATCGGCACTGGGTTCGAGCCTCGGTGGGAACATCATCTCTGGGGAATGCAGGTACATCAAGTTGGCTGACGAGTCTAAAATAGGACGAAATGCGCGTTATCCTGGATTCCACTGCTAGTCACTATCCACCAATCAATTTCTAATTACATGCCCAGACATCGTCAAAGCATCTGTACAAGAAGCCGACATATCAACCTGAGACCAAGCACTTCGGTCCAATCACTTGACGGGAAAATCTAAAATTCAATTCAATACTATAAGTAAGTTAGTTTTACTCGACTACTATGCTTACATTTCTAACTTACCATACTCAGAAACGTATCATAAAGTAATCACAGGAAATCTGATTAGTTTTACTGGCATGTCATTACTATTTATAGTGAAGATTAGGGATTCTTCACTAAGCCTTTATAGTCAGCAATTTATCATTAATTCATGGATAATCTTCATCCAGGCATTAATGAAAACAAAACACGTAGTTCAGCGAAGAGTCTCTTTTCACCGATTGTAGTAATTTATTGTAGTCGTAGTATTAGTATTTCAAGATGACCGAATTACACGAATCCAAACAAAACACAGAGAGGGCAGAACTCAGGAATTTGTATTTAGCGGAATTATTCTGCAATTCATATAAGAAACATATCAACAGTCAACAGTAAGTATTTAAACAATACAGAGATAGAAATTGTCAATCACCACATCCGCCACACGTCGAATATCTCCTTGCGTATTTATAACGATGTCTCGGTTTGCTTGCAAGTAGCTGCGACCTTCTAACTGATTCTGTGATATTATTTTCATCAGTATTATCTGGACTTATTTCTGAATTATTTACGAAATCAGGATTATTAGCGGAATCAATAATATTATAATTGGAACGACCTACTTCATTTATTGTCACTTTGTCCAGGTGTCCGTTATGAACTGAGTGATCTTTGATGTCTAATATCTTCACCACTCGATTTCCCATTTTTTGTAGTATAATTCCAACAGAAGGTCTATAGTTATTATCTTTGTAATAATGTACATTAGAAGTCGTGGACATCAGATGCTTTTTGAGAATTCGAGATTTGAAAAGTTTTGCAGGACTTTCACGGGTACTTGTATGCTCTGCATTCGACAGACGCAGTCTATGCATATGCAGTAATTCCTCAATTTTAATCAGTTGCTCTCTCATCTCATTCAGGTCTTTTCGTGTTTTCGACAGTTCACATTGTAACTCAGCTACCTCATTTTTGAAAACAGTTGACACTTGAGTTGCCGAACTTGTAGTGGAGGTTTTCATCGGATTAGCTTGAGTATTTTGAAAGGTTGAAAGACACATTGACTCCATTTTACTAGACAACTTGGGAGAATTATAAGAATGTTGAGCAACATAAGTATTCGAACTTCTGCAAACCGTCTTGATGTGTCCAACTTTACCACATTTATGGCACTTAGCACCCCGAAAACGGCAATTGCTTCGTAGATGTAACTTTCCATAGGATAAACACGGTTTAATGTTTTTGATCTCTCGCTGCATTCTATTACTTGTGGACGACGGTTTGGATTGCTTTCCATGAACACTTGTATTTGTGACTTTGGACAACATGACATCAGATACTGACGTAGTGGGAGCAGAGTATTCATTATTGACATCTTCATATGTAATACATAAATCTTTAGCAGTTTGAAAGGTACAAGAAGGAATCTGAATTAACTCTTTCTCTAACTTAGGAATATTGATTCCAGCAATTAGACGATCACGTAGTTGAGTATGCAGCTGATCTCCAAAGTTACACTTTGAAGCTTGAATTTGAAGTTGAAGAATGAACTCTCGAATCTTCTGGTTGGGAGCACGAACCAGTTTGTTGAAGTGAGCCCTCTCTCTGGTCTCAAATGTAGTTACATGAAAGTGATTTATAAGAAGTTCACGTAGTTTGTAATATGGCAGAGAAATTGGTTTTTCTGGAAATGACAGAGTCTTTACTAGGCTATATGCATCTAGCCCAATAGCAGTGATGAAATATGCTGGAATTTTGTCATCCCGAACATTCT